ACTTTGAAATTGCAAATAAGTGGAGAATGGTTGGACGGCGGCGAGTATATCTGGTTCGTATCTTTCGACCTATGTGTTGGTCTTTATAATGACGGCAACACTTTATGCACTGCCGTACGGCAAAGGGTTAAATATGCGCAAAGCGAAATATATACGGCACGCTCACATGGACATGGATAATGGGAAAACTACGAAGCGGAATTACCGAGCTGTCCTGTTACGGGGGCAAACTATCCACGGTTGTCTCCCTTCCTTTGATATCTGCTCTCGGGCGAAATATTTCCCGCTTTTCCTCTTCCCGCGTTCTTGTTTTCGCTTCGTCTATCGGTGGCCGTCTGTCCGTCATCGATATTAACCCTAAATCTCGCAGAAATGACGAAAAGTCACATTAAAATGGAAAAATACAATGAAACTTCAATAAATCGTAAATGAAAAGTTCTTTTAAATTAATTAATAAAATAAAAATAAATCATTTTTGAACTTATATCGTAATAATTTATACAATGATTTATCATCTTGTGTGATATAGCGCATATAAATTTGACATTACATTCGATTCAGTTGCCCTCTGTTAATTTAATTTTAAATTTCTGTTCTATAAGCAGACAATCAACATTATAATATGTGGAAATTTAATTCAGTGATAAGTTCTCCGTTTAGGCAACGATTTTAGGATATATATGCTTCTCCTATATTTCCAGGATGCTCAGGAAATCCAGACGCGAAGCGATTATACGACGATCTCTTATCAAATTACAATAAACTGGTTCGTCCAGTGCCCAACGTCACAGGCGCTCTCACCGTTAAAATAAAGCTCAAACTTTCGCAGCTCATAGATGTGGTAAGTAATAATATTCTTGCGGTCACATTACTCGTAAAATATATAATATGAGAAAAAATAAGCGAGAATTATGGATTTAAATATTAAAATTAAATATTTAAATTATAACAGAAAAGTAAATATTTTTATATAATAATGTCTTAATAGTGAATTTTTAAACATTATTATTTACGTTATTTGAACGCGAATTTTAGCTGCGTACCTTACATTCCGTAAGATAAAAATTGTTGTAGCAGATGCCACTGACACGTACATATAATAATCTGTAGTCCACTTTTTAATTATCTCGGGAGAGCATAAGATATGTCGACTCATAACGGAATACGAGTATTGCGATATATTTTCAGAGCATGGGAAAACGATGTATTCTCACAAAATTATTTTCTTGCAGAATTTGAAGAATCAGGTCGTGACGACAAATCTCTGGGTCGAACAGGTAATACAAAATAATCACATAATGTAAGAATTGAGATAATAAAAAATCAGGTAATGTGTGTAAGTATTAAGATAGAAATTGGGGAAAATTAGGAGATACTTATTACCCATAATGTAATGTTGAACAATAGAGTAGCATTTGTAACAAATTGTAACAATTTTCGATTACATGTAAAATCGCTGAAACTTTCATTGTGAGTCGTCGTTCACGTGGAAAGTAAATGTTCAGCCTGTCGATGACACGTTTTAACACGTGGCTACATGTGCGAGCACGCGCGCGTACTTTCGTACGCAGAAACGAAGATCGGACAGTAACTTCCGCCCGGAGAAGCCAGAAAATAACTTCGGTGAACCGTGCAACCCACTTTCAAATGCTGAATTACGTAAGATAGATTCACCCCATGTGCGCAACCGTTTTTCCATTCAGGGATATACAGCGAGCACAAAATAGATTCGTGTAATAAATACGCGACGAAAAATCGGGTCATTAGAAAGCAGATACCTTGTGATACGATTATATAGGGTGTCGCTTGAAAAATTCTATAGGCTCTTTTTATAATATCAATGAGGATAAATAAAAATATATTTATACAGGGTGTCCCATAACTCACCTGACAACGCTCGTGGGCAGGTAGAGTGGACTAAACTGAGTCGAAAAGTCCTCTACTATTTTGTAATTTTCGCAATAGTTAACAAGATATTAATTACTAAAAATTGCAGAATATTGGTCTTCAATAATTTTTTTCTCAAATACTATCAATCTTACAAAAAATCTGCAAGAGACAAAAATTGTTTATTTTCTTCTCATAAAGTTCTGAGAATTTTTTCAGAATTTTTTATCAACTTTTTAAGTACTGCATTTTCTTATTTTTACCATCATGAAAATCCGGTATTAAAAAATCCGGTATGTATTTTATATAATATCATTATATATTGAATCCTCTTCGTAGTATTTTCAGAGAAGCAATAAAAGATCATACTTTTCTCTCGGTATTATATATGTATACATATATTTTTTTAACTTCGTTTGCATAACTTTTCTACACGCGTGTTCTAGATTTTATTATTGTATTTCATTTGTCGGATATTTGTACATATTGAAAGTTTTAATTATTTCATCGTTGAAAATAATCAAAAAATAAAATAAAATGAATGACGAGATTGGTAATAGAAGTAAAATCAGAATAAATCGAAATTTATATCAAAGCTTGAAATTGATACGTACCAATTTCATTACAAATTTCAATTTATTCTGATTTCGTAAGTCCTTGTAAATACGTTAGCACAAGTTAAATGTTAGCAATACTTAAGGATATATGTGTCATATACCTCCAAAAATATAAAAATTTCATAGATTGTTCTATTTCTACATCTGAATATCTGTGTAAAATATGAACACAACAATTCTCTTATTGGTTTAAAAGTTATTTATTTTTTTTTTTATTAGTCTTGATTCTTATGTAAAATGTTCGTGTTTTATGTGTAAATTTGATGAGAAAGTAACATTAAGAATTAAATCAAATTTTAAATATATACTGATCAAACAATAATAAATATTTGTGCAAAACTTTATTTAGAATCACTTATTCGTTTAAAAGTTATTGACCTAAAACTGCAGAAAAATATGGGCATTTTGCTGTATAAAACCATTGTAAGCAAAATTATTTGTTGTTTTGTTCTTTGCAGTTGATTTTAGAGCATATTTACGGGCTATAATATCATCAAAGTATTTTGAATGATATTAACTGATATTAGCTCATTTTGACTGACATTATATAGTTAAAATACGCTTCTCCTTAACACGCTTTATTTATTTTACTAGACATAACAGGCGCTCGCTTCGTGTGCGTTACTGAGCTTTTAATGTTATATATTCAAATATACATATAATATTTATTAATCAATTACATTTAACCTTCGATACACATAATCGTCAATCGCGCGATCTCCGCGATGACAGCCGCTCACGAAATAAGCGCAGCGAGAGAATCAAATCGAACCGACACGAAAGGTTTGTTCGCGTCGCAAGCTCCAACATGCTCCAACATGCTCCTACCATAGCTCCTTCTCATTCTACCAAGCACGTTGCTGTGAGTAGGAGTGAGTAGGAGCTATGGTAGGAGCATATTGGAACATGTTGGAGCATGCGACGCAAACAAATCTGAAATTACGCACGCGATACGATCGAGCTCCAAACAACCAATCCACATCGCGGAAAAGGGACAACAATGAATGAGACTATCGATTTAACATCTCAATTTTATAATAGGACTAAGTTCATTTATCTTTATTCAAATCATTAAGATATGTTAAATAAAAATTATATTCAAAAAGAAAAATAACATAATTATGTAGTTTTATTGTTGATAAAGTAGTTTTAGTGTTGATAAAATTAAATTCTATTTACACAGTTTGCAAATTGGAAATTCATGTATCTCTGTATTTGATAATTCTTATCAGCTCATTATCTGAGTCATGCGTAAAAACTTTATCAGCGAAAGGACATCAAATATTAATATTACGCGGTAAACCGGGCACATCGTTGTTGATGTTCCCGTATACTCTCAGTTCGGAGAGTTATGAACCAATGCCATGCCATTCGAAAGTTTGAAATATCCACCGCATCACGCATCAATGTTATCATAAAGTTCGCGCACGAAAATGTTAATTTAGCCGCAATTTATCGACAGGCTTAATCGGTTCGTGCTGACGCAAGCAGGCTGAAAATGTCCGCATTGCGAATAAATTGTCCGCCGATTTTTACATTAAATTTTTTAAACCTAGCTTTATAATAATTGTAATTTCTATTATCGGTTTGTGACAACATTATCTTCATTGATCTATGTATTAAATTCAGGGTTGGGTAGTGCTAAATTAAAAAGATAAAAGAATTAAGTTAAAAAGTTAAAAAGTTAATTAATTTTAACTTAGTTATATTTTAGATTCTTAACTTTTTAACTTAATTTAGTTATATTTTAT